AAAATACTCACCCCAAAAACCCCCCCCCCCCCCCCAACCATAAAACACAAGGAAAATCTAACACAAAACGTTTTATGTGATTTGTAACAAATTTATCTTGGATACTAGTAAGAAAGCCTCCACTAAGAGATCATTTGCCCACATACAACTGAGCAGAGTTATTACCACAACACTGATGTTTGTGTTCAAACTGTTTAACTCAGATTAATCTCCCCTGTCTAAAGGACAGGGAAAAGTCCTTCCTGTCATGCAGGGATGACAAGTAGTGTCCATAAACTGCGTTGTGGAAGGAGCTGAGTAGTGACTCTGGTGACTGCAACGTGTGGCAATAATAGGATGCTATCATTTTCTAGTGCTGCACAGCATCACAGTTGGTCTTCCATGCATCCTGCAATACTGTTTGTACATTTGTAGAATAGCAGGTTAGGAGTGTTCGTGGGAGGGTCATCCCTATAACTCAGGCTGCTTATTTAAAAAAAATATATATCAGCTGTTGGACCAATGAGCTGTTGAGAAATACAGCGGTGAATGTGGTCTGCTTGGCTAGAAAAATGTTACCATGCTATCGCTGCAGAGCTTCAAGCATGGCCCCCGTGCCTTTCCTGGCAGAATGTACAGTGAGAGCCAGCTTTTTAACCATGTACACTTGTCTTCCTGGCTGCAAGGAAAATGAACCTGAAGAATGTAAAGGAGGTTCTTTGCTACCAGTTGGCTGGTTGGATAAACATAATCAAGTTCCAAAATGGTGCCTGGGAGTTCTTCTGAGGAGTGGGAGGCATGCACATGAAAGGGCTGTGCCACTTTAAAACCCAGGGTGTCTGTCTCCAGAAGAAATGCAGGCAGAAATTTTAACCACTTTTAGATTTGTTCAGGCTGTGGATAAACTGTTTTATATCGGGTTGTGTGGACTTCACATGTGCATGCCAACAGCTTCAGTGAGCCTTTCAGCATGGCAAATGCCCAGTCACACTTGCCCTCAGGTGAGTGCTGGACTCTGGCCATCAAAGCCATGGGGTTCCATCCTCACTCTCTCTCCCTCCCACACACCACAAAAGCGCTGCCATCAGGATTTAAAACACCTTTAAAAGACCTTTAAAACTCCAGTGTTAAGAGTGCTGTATGATGTACAGCTGCTGTGCAGAGCTGGAGCCCTGTGGAGGGGCCATATCGCAGTGGATGGGACCAAAACTGGGAAAAAACTTGGCAGCAAGCTGTGTTTAAGGTGGGGAGTGGAATCAGTCCCAAGAAAGGCATAGTTTGACAGGGACATTCATGCAGCTTTATGTGTAAAATTTCTGTTTTGATTCACAGCTATTTTGTGCTACAAAGATTTTATAAATTATATATAAATGCTGCACAGGTATTTTTATAGTATTAACCTGCATGTGATTCATGGAATAAATGCAAACTGTATTTGGTTCAAATTTTAAAATATATCTATTTTGCAGAGTTTGGTGTTTGTCTGTTCATTTTGTGTCCTCTATTGCTATTTGTAAATGACTGATGTGAGGGGAATGAGTCACATTTTAAAGAGATTCCCAAGTGCAACCATGCATCTCTCTTTCCAAGCTGTCCTGCTTGTGGCCATTTGTCTCCTGTTCAGTCCAGCTGAGAGTTTTGGCTCCTACAGCAAGGTCTTGCTCTTTTTAAAACATAAAAAAAAAAAAAAGACTGCTGATCTACTAATGATTATTTGTTACAATCTTTGCAAATGGAAATGAATGAGTTGCCTGTTATTAGTGATAAGGGATGTTTGGGCAGTGGAATCTTCTTCACCTGCAATATCTACCTCTAATAGACTAAACAGTTAATAGGAAGCGAATTTAAGTTAACATGTGCAGTTATAGTGTGACAACCCATGAACTGAAGAATATTTTGCATTCACTGAGCAGCCCAACAAGGTTTTGTGGCCAAGGATGTGTATTTGAAACCAGGTAGAGCCATGTCCTCCCCTCAGCATTATGCCTTGCCTGGAAGTGGCATGGCCCTGGGCCCCAAGTGCCCACAGCTGATCAGAGTGAGCCCAATTGCTGCAACATCCCTGGGCCGCCTGGGCCAGGCACAGGTTTCAGCTCGGCTCTGTGTTGTATCTGTGCTTGTGGGATGCTCATGGGACCACAGCCATTCCCACAGGGCCAGGCTTGGAGAGGCAAGTCCTCTAACAAGGTAAGAGACTTCACCCTTTCTGTATTCATTAACCAGGTCCTCGTGGCAAACCCATGTGTGTCTTTGCTGTCTGTGGAAATGCTCCCCACCCCTTCATCCCTGCAGCATGTGTGCCTCTGCATTTCCAGTGTGGTGGTAGAAAATGAGTTTTTGTGGTGGTTTTGTTGGTCATGTTCTGTTCTCACAAAGTCACCAGCTGAATCCTCTTGAGTAGGCATGTTCAGATTTTAGAGTAAAACACTGTGTTTGTTGTGAACAGGATAGGAGGCAACTTCCAGAGCATCAGCGTTGGAGCCTGGGCTGTTGAATTCTGTCTGTCCTGGTCCAGTGCTACAGGTATCCATCCTGTGGCTGCCTACAGCTGGAGGGGTGGTGCAAGGCAATCTAAGTTTCCTTCGTTATTCTGTCAAGAGGGATGTAGCAGGCACCTCACCCTTAGCTTAGTCCACTCTGTCCTGCCTTGAGGCTACCTGCTGAAATGCTCACTTTGCAATTCACTTTTTGGTTGTGTGGTGCCAACCCAGCCTTCCTCCTGTCGTGGGGCATCTCTGTGTGACAGCCTTCCAGTGCACAACCAGCTACTCTGCCAGCAGCAAAATGGTATTGGACCTTTTGGCAGGGATTAAAACTCAAAGCAGCAAGCACTGAATTTTCCTGCTTTAATTTTCCAGCAGTAACTTTGTCATGACCCCAGTCTCCTAATCCATCCAAATTTCTATGCAAAATCACCAGCAGGCTTGCGCCTTGCTTTTCTGGATACAGGGGATGTAATTTAGGGGATAGAATACAACGGTCTGAGTTTCAGTTTTGACCCTTCTAATATCTGTGCTACAAGCAGAAGTTAGGAAATGTGAGTACCTCTCTGCACAGGGTGGAAGTGCAGTTCAGTAGTGTATGTATGGGATCTTGCACATTTGCTAAAACCCGTGTAAAGGAAGGCCCTCGCTTGCTGCCAGCCAGCTCCAGCTCCTGCTCCTGCCAGAGCACATCGCTTCCCCTGTCATCTGCTGGGGCTGGCAGTGGGCTGGCAGTGATGGCCAGCCTGCCCACTGTCCCGCTGCCACCCTGCTGCTGCCCTGCTCACCCGGCTGCCCTCGCACCAGGCTCGGTTTCGAGGTCACCGGGCGGTCAGAGGTGTCGCGTGTGAGAGGCCGTGACCCCCCAGCAGCCTCCTGGCAGCGCCCGGTGCTTTTGCTCAGCCTATTCCATACTCACCTGCCAAACCGAGAATGATTTGAATTGCAAGCAAGCACAACGCCAGCACGGAGATGGAAACAGTCCCAAGTGTCACCTTTACATAAACAAACACTCTTGTGCAATAGCGAGGGTGACCTGCGAGCACAGGGGCCTGTGCTGGGAGCTGCAGTCGGGCTGTCTCAGGGTTCTGCTCCTTTGGAAAATCACCTTTACAGCTCCAAAGCACAGCAAGGACAAACCCAGAGGTGCTTGTGTCCAGCAGAATGGAACCTGGCAGCCACCTGGACAGCACCCTAAATCAGCTTTGACCTCTCTGTCACCAGCTCTCCATCCTTTTGTGCTCGTGTTCAGATCCCCAGCGATGACCCAGTACGCACAGGCAGCAGGAGCAGGCCAAAAGTAATCCATAATTTGGGACCAGTAGTGAAAAATCCCACTTCCAACTTTTCTTTAAAAAGAAAATCCAAGTTCAAAAGATGTTTAAAAATTGCTCAGAAGCCACCACCACCAGCAGACATTGCCTTTGCCTGAGACCATGGCTACAGCAAAGGGTAAAAGCAAATTTCAATGCTCACAGTGGCTCGCTCCAGCATGAAGCTGGGTGATAGCTACCTCGAGTTCTGCATACAGCTATGAGCAGGCCGTAAATACCAGATAATTGGTTTGGAGCTGTGAAAGACAAAGCCTTGCAATAAATACACCAGACTTATATGAAGTGCCCCACTCATCAGGAATCATGGTTAATCCTGAGCACAGCACTACAGCAAAGCTTGAATTTCATTGCTACAGCAGCCCCTGCAAGGCTGCTGGTACCACAGTTAGCTGGGGGGTCCAGGGGCTCCAAATGGGTTTTTTAACCTTTATCTTGATTCTCATCCTCCACTTTTAGCAAGTAATGGTACTTACCTGGGACAGTTAGTGTCCCATTTGTGGTGCACTTAGCTGCCAATGCATGGGCAAATGGTTTGAAAAAGAAGTGATCCCTAAAAGCCTCACAACACATGCCACTGCAGCTCAAGCCCTTAGTCCCAGCCTAATCTGGTCTTTAAACTCAAAGGACAGCAAATTCACAGGAGAATTGGGACACCCAAAGAGTCAGAAAATCTTGTGTAGAGAAATATATTTAGTGCATGCAAATATGCCTGCACTCTGCTGCAATGCAAATCTGCCTTATTGTCGTCCTAATCCCCGTGCATGACACACCAATAAACAGGGGGGGTTAATACTTACCATCTGCGTTACAGATTGCTTCCCACACTGCGAGCTTGCTTGGTTACAGTTGTGTAGGCACCACGGAGAGATATATCCTGCAAACGGCAAGCTGGCTAATCCCTTGGGAGATTTAAAATGTGAGCTGCAGTTTTCTCACTCTCCGTGGGCACTGGAGCCAGTC